ATCTGCCTGCAAAGCAGGAGAATGGAGTTTGATTCCAGGGTTGGGAAGATTTGCTGGAGAACGGATAGGTTACCCACTCCAGTATTCTTGGGCTTCCCTTGTGGCTCAGCTGGTAAAGAATCTGCCTGTAATCTGGGAGACCTGGGTTGGGAAGATGCCCTGGAGAAGGGAAAGGCTACCCACTCCAATATTCTGGCCTGGAGAATTCCATGGGGTCCATGGGGGTGCAAAGAGTTGGACACAACTGAGCGACGTTCACTTTCAATTTTCACATATGTCTAAAGCTAAATCTAAACATGCTCTAGTGCCTAAATTAGCTCTTCTTGCTATGATCACATCCACCTACTCTCTTGACCTAAAGTGAACTATTTCCTCTTCATCTGACTCTATTATCAGAGCTAGTGAATCACTGTGCTGTAATTAAATCACCCGGGAAACATTCTCAAATCTGCCCTATCACTGCCTCTCTTGCTTAGACCTGCTTCCGTCCACAGCTGGAACTGATTGGTAGACTGCAGAACTGTCCATCTTCTAAAATCCACGATAACTTTGAAAAACTCAAAAACCCCATAATGTTAGGTTGACTTTCAAAATACTGTATTAAAACTAAAATCAAAGACAAGACCAAGTGTGTAGACTATCCTTTCCAAGTTAGACCAACATCCTCTTCCTTAAAGACACTGGTGCTGCACCTCCTGAAGTCTTTACAAAGCTCTCCACAACACCCAAACACATTCACCCCACCCTCCCACACATGCACTCTCACTCACTCACTCACACAACACACAGATACACATACTTGCACACTCTCAGGCTCCAGCAATGAGTATATGTTTCAAATCACCACCCACAACCTGATGCTTTGGGGCACTAGTCAATCAACTCCTTCTGGAGACTTGGTTCTAAATTCAGGCTCTGAACGTTCTTCTCTGGCCTCATCAACCCCAAAGAGAATAGGTCATTTTCTCTTTTATAGACATACTTCTAGTCTTGCAGTTATCAAGAAGTAATAGTTAATTGGATTATATAACTGTTGCCCCCAACTTGAGAGGGCTTTATCTATGCATCTCATACCTGAAGAATAGCAGCTATCAGACTCAATTTGTTCAACTCCACTAATGTTTTTGATCAACATTTAGAAAACTAAGATCCATCACTTCATGGCAAATAGTTGGGGAAACAATAGAAACAGTGCCAGACTTTATTTTCTTGGGCTCCAAAATCACTGCAGATGGTAACTAAAGCCACGAAATTAAAAGAAGCCTGCTCTGAAAGAAAAGCTATGACCAAACTAGACAGCATATTAAAAAGCAGAGACATTACTTTGCCAATGAAGGTCCATCTAGGTAACACTATGGTTTTTCCAGCAGTCATGTATGGATGTGAGAGTTGGACTACAAAGAAAGCTGAGCGCTGAAAAATTGATGCTTTTGAACTGTGGTGTTGGAGAAGACTCTTGAGAGTCCCTTGGACTGCAAGGAGATCCAACCAATCCATCCTAAAGGAAATCAGTCCTGAATATTCATTGGAGGGACTGATGCTGAAGCTGAAGCTCCAGTACTTTGACCATCTGAAGGGAAGAACTGACTCATTGGAAAAGACCCTAATGCTGGGAAAGATTGAAGGCAGGAGAAGAAGGGGACAGCAGAGGATGGGATGGTTGGATGGCATCACCAACTCAATGGACATGAGTTTGAGTAAGCTCCAGGAGTTGGTGATGGACGGGGAAGACTGGCATGCTGCAGTCCATGGGGTCGTGAAGAGTCAGACAGGACTGAATGACTGAACTGAACTGAACTTTGATTAAGTGATGACAACTTAGGCAGCATGCTTAAAATATGACTGAGTGACATTTTAATAATAACTGAAAAAAGAATCTTCAGACCGTTTACATACATGATTATAAAAATACAGGTTATATTGACATGTGCAGCCATTGACCTAGACTTGTAGAACAGAAAGCACTGAGTGACCTGAATATAGTGACTCTACCACCGATTCACATAGTAATAATCTCTCTTTTCCTGCTCACCGTGCAAAATCACCATCTCCTCCTCCTGACTATTTTTTTTTCCTTACATCTATACAAATAAAGTATTTCCACCTACTTAGATATTAAAAGTGTTATAGCAAATGTCACCAATGACCCCTGAGGCCAAAATTTTTTAATCTCTTGAATTATTATTATTAATTTTTGCAGTATTTGCTACTCTGGGACACCCTCCATGACGCCTCCCACTTGGCTTCTGGTTCTTCTACCTCTTTGACCATTATTTCTCAGGTGAGTCAGGGGAGCCTCTTCTTTCACCCACTCCTTAAACACTGGTTTTACCCAGGCACTCTGTTACTTGGTGATGTCATCTACTTCTCCGGCTGAGTGCCTTGGGTTCATATACCCAACTCGTTCTTGAACATAGACTCCTGGATAATGCACAGGTGCCCCAAATCATCCTATCACGATCTGAACTCCTCACTGCCCACCCTACTGGTTGGCCTGCTTTACTTTCCTTTATTTCCCCATGTCAGCTGCTGACGTGCTCAATCACCCAAACCACTGATACAACAGCCCCCCTAAACTCTTTCCTTACAAACCATATTCAATTGACAACTAAGCACTGCCCATTTACCTTCTTTCTTACTGAGCTCTTAAAATGTTTCCTTCCCACACCCTCTGCTACTTCTGCAGGTCAAGACCTCATCCTTCTCTGGACAGTTGCAATAGTCCCTTAATTGATCTGCTTGTCTTCAGTTTTGCCCACATCCTACTCATATGCCATCATTCTTACTTCTGCCAAAGTAAGCTATATGTATCTTATACACACACACATACATACACATAATGAAAATCTGACAAGTTAAAATCCATCAGTGCATGCTAAAAACTAAATGTAGTGTTATTAAATTTTATTTTGATCCAGTTATCATGTACAGAAATCTAAGCTCATCCTACAATAGTAACCCAGGATGCCATCTTACATTTTCTATTCTCTTTTAGTCCAATCAAAATGTAAACACAACCTCCACACTAAAAAACTAGCTTTTACTGATCTTCAGGCCCACTGATAGGTTGTGACGCACATATTTAAAAACACTGGCCTACAGGCTAAAGCCCATCCTTAGTGTCCTGCCCACCCCCAAATTACTGTCACTGTTTTCACAGCAATCTAGAAAGGGGCTTATATGGAAATGGAGAGCTCGACTTACAAATACCACTCTCTAGAGAGAATCAGTAGAAATGAGGAATGGACTGTAAACTTTAAATTTTTCAAGTCACCTAAAGAGAGGTCCACTGTCGTAATTAGTTAAGCGTGGAGTGAAGAAAAAGATTCTCAGAAAGGAGAACCCAAAAGCCACTGTCAGTCACTCTACTCAGAGAGGCTGCCAGGAAGGTTCCACTAGGTTCACGGTAAGTTACAACAGCTTTCCACTCCTAGGAGTCCACGGAAAGCAGAAGCAAAATAAGAAAAAAATAATTAGTCTCTTTGGCAAGGATGTCAATTGCTGCTTCTTATCTGATAATTCCAATCTTAGGTGGACACTGGAATAAGTGGTACAAATAAAAATGGGACCTCAATATATGGAATATAACACATCTTAAAATTCATGTTAATTCCTCAAAGAACTTTCCCCAAAGTTGCTTGTTTTCTAATGCCTGGAACATATGATGGAAAGTGGGAATCATAAGTTTTCCATGATTTTTCAAGAAAAGTTCCACCATCAAGAAAATGGATTTATGGCTAGAACATGTGTAGAAAAAAAATGGCAACATCATTAAAAGAAGCAGTTCTTCCAACTTAAAACTTTTTTCAATGCAATTATAAACCATTTTTACTACAGTTAGGAGAAAATTATTTGTGTTCCTTGAAAAGTACTGATCAAGTGTGGAAGATGATATTCAAATACACATAGATAAAATCTATAACTCATTTATGGAGCCTCTTGAAATTTATTTACCCAAATTTTATATCTTAAACCATAAATAATTTTGTATTTGTGACCATGTGTATGCAAAATATAAGCAAGCATTTAAACATTTTATTAATTTCATTTTTGCCAGTGGGAATAAAACTTGACACAGCAAAAGGATTACAAAAAGTTACTTTTCTTTTCATAGCCTTTTGATAATCTTATTACTTTATTTTGGTTTTACTTCAAAAAATTGTCAGATAGCTAAGGAAACCTATAGAAAAATCACTCCTAAGACACATTTCTTCAATGGCTTTTGCAAAATAACTTGGAAGGAGGCATTTCCCTAGGAGTAACTACTTGGCTGTAATGGTTATTATGCTAACAGCATTACCACTGCTGAGACATTTTAAGGAAATATTTAATTTTTCTTACCAGGAGCATCATTTTATTCAGAAGATTGAATAGATTATGCCACTCTGCAGAATTTTAAAGCTCTTTACATTTCATCTTACAGAAATCCACACTTGCAACACAGAGTTTGCTTATTTGGTTTCTCCTCTAATTCCTTTTGCTTGGCCATTTAAACCTTCAGGAATATCCACACTTGAGGTTACAATAATAAGAACAAACTGACGGTCCATCCCTCTTTCTGATTGTCCCTGACCTTTCTAGCACACAGTGTGAAGGTGGTTATGAATGAGCCATGCACTTCCCTTCTTCACATTTAGGAAAGGATCCCCTCTCTGCACCTTTTCATTACTTTCCCAGGGTCTCAGGCTCGAGCCCACATACTTTCTAAATCCAAAAGTTACAGAGTTTCTAATAGCACAGAGCTCCCCAATATGTGTTTCTTTCCCATCATTACCTTCATGCTTCCCATACGGCATTAGAAACATCACTTAATGAAGATGCTTGAGACACAGAGGTGTTTCCAGATCGTTTTATCTAATTCAGTAGCAGCCTTTTACCCCCAGACACCCCAGAGCAGCCAGAGCTTGCGCTCCCACATGCAATGTGAATTAATACATCTGGAACCAGTGATCTGTGTTACAGACGACATTTTCAGTCAATGAAACCAATGCCATACTCACGGTGGAGGCGGGTGGGGCTGGTGCTCAACATTTCTTGGGGCTTTGCAGGCAGCAGGCTTCACCATGTCCCTGACCACACACCTGGGGCGCATGATAGACAGCACAACGCACTATTAATTATAAAATGGGGAGAAACATCTGGAAATTAAACACGGTACTGAAAACAAGTTTAAGGGAACTGTCTGCAAGCCCCTACGTATTAACCTAGAGGCCCTGAGAAGCCCTGGGATTTAGGAGCCTTCAGCTCATGCTTCTAGGAGCTCAGTTACACCCAGATGAACTCCATGCCAGTGCTGGCCTCAGTATTGGATTTCCTGTTTAGTACCAATAAAACGGTCCTCATTAGACTTCCCCACAGAAGCAAAGCTGCTGAGAACTTTGGCTTCACCCTATGAAGACATCTGAAAGCGTAAACATAGGAGCCCCTGCTGCGCTGATACGTTAAAAACAGGCAGGACTTTCTGTGGCCTTGGCTATCTTACTGAAAGACATGGATTTTCATTTCATGCCCTTCATCACCACATAGATCTTTCCCTTTATGCAAGAAAAAAGAAAAGAAATTAAAAAAACAGAGATCTGTGATGTTTCAGGACATCCCCCATGTTCTAAATCCGTTCAAGCTAAGAAAGGAGGAAGAGTCAGAGGGAAATGTACATATATAAAGTGTGTGTGTCTCCATAAGTATGCAAAATAAATATGCAAGATGCCTGCACAGTGTGAAAATAGGCAGGAAAAGGTCTTTGGGTCTTAAGTTGTCCATCACAGAATAAATAAATGCAGAGGATGGGTCACAGCTGCAAAGGGCAGCAGGGGGAGGTGCCCTTAACCTGATGTCAACAGGACTTAATGCAACGCTGGAGAGAATCACTGCATAAGCCAGAAAACATAGCCCTTTGAGGCTGTCCTTGGATTGCTCAGATATCCCTCCACCTCAGAAGCCCTGAACAAACCTTGATTTGAATAGGGAAGCCCTGTTTATAAAGTTGAGACCCTGAGTCTTAGACTCTGCTAAATGGAAAAGCCACATAGGACTTGGGATTCTCAAGCAAGAACCTGGTTCTTAACTTTGACAGTGCTTTTGACTGCACTTGGAGATCTGACTACCTGTAAGGCCAGTCTTGCTATTCAAGAGGTGGCTCAGTGGTGAGGTAGTGGCAGATAAACTGCTTTCCCAGAGCTAAAAGCTGCATGGCAAAATTCTCCACTTCTGAAAGAAATGATACAGGCAGACGTGGACACTGCACAGAAACGTGAGTGCACACACACACACACACACACACACACACACACACACAGAGCTAAGTCCAAACAGGATCAAGTAAGACTCAGAAATCAATATATAATGTGACAAGAAAAGAAAACGATGCCATTTCAAAGCCATCCCTCCTGGGCTCAAAGGAAAGAAATGTGGTAACTATCTAGAGTGAATGCTAAACTCTTAGTGGACTGATCACCAGTCATTGGAGAAGGACACTCTGGCAGGAAGGTTCAGAGAACATTCAAGAAGGCAGTTGCCAGGGAGAAGTAATATCCCAGGGTATTACTGAGCTCTGAAATGTTAATATAACTTACTCAAGTACAGTGCACAGAAAGTTACATTTCACTGCACTGGGAAATCTTTAGCAATTCTCACTCAACTAAAAATAGCCCACATGGCATGTTGAATCTTTACACGCATTGGTTTGTGAAAATATCGGAAATATCACCAACTTTGGAGAAAATCTTGAAGAATTATATGTATGAGAAACCATATGCAACCTTCTGTCTTAGTTCATTTCCTTTCTTCTTTTTTTTTCCCTCCTGAAAATTCAGGTATTTGGGCAAAGTTTTGGGAAAAAAAGAAATCTGCCACTCAATTAGAGTTTTCCTTCAATATGTTTTTAAATAACTCTTCTCCAATAAAAGTGGATTATTAGCCAGCATGAAAGACCATGTCTGTGTAAGAAAATTCTAATTTAATTTTGAGAATTCAGTGGTTTTGATTTAAAACTATAGTAAATGGCATATTTCATCTGTTTGCCTATGCTATAGAATCTTTTTTTAAAAATTCATTTTAATTGGAGTCTAATTACTTTACAAAATTGTAGTGGTTTTTGCCATACATTGACATAAATCCGCGATGGGTGCACATGTGTTCCCCATCCTGAACCCCCCTCCCACCTCCCTCCCCATCTCATCCCTCTGGGTCATCCCAGTGTACCAGCCCTGAGCACCCTGTCTCATGCATTGAACCTGGACTGGCGATCTGTTTCACAAATGATAATATACATGTTCCAATGCTATTATCTCAAATCATACCACCCTCACCTTCTCCCACAGTGTCCAAAAGTCCATTCTATACTTCTGTGTCTCTTTTGCTGTCTCGCATATAGGGTCATTGTTACCATCTTTCTAAATTTCATATATATGCATTAGTATACTGTATTGGTGTTTTTCTTTCTGACTTACTTCAGTATGTATAATAGGCTCCAGTTTCATCCACCTCATTAGAACTGATTCAAATGTATTCATTTTAATGGCTGAGTAACATTCCATAGTGTATATGTATCACAGCTTTCTTATTTATTCGTCTGCTGATAGGCATCTAGGTTGCTTCCATGTCCTGACTATTATAAACAGTGCTGCGATGAACATTGGGGTACACGTGTCTCTTTCAATTCTGGTTTCCTCAGTGTGTATGCCCAGGAGTGGGATTGCTGGGTCATATGGCAGTTCTATTTCCAGTTTTTTAAGGAATCTCCACACTGTTCTCCATAGTGGCTGTACTAGTTTGCATTCCCACCAACAGTGTAAGAGGGTTCCCTTTTCTCCACACCCTCTCCAGCATTTATTGCTTGTAGACTTTTTGATGGCATTCATTCTGACCGGCATGAGATGGTACCTCATTGTGGTTTTGATTTGCATATCTCTAATAATGAGTGATGTTGAGCATCTTTTCATGTGTTTATTAGATCTGTAGGTCTTCTTTGGAGAAATGTCTGTTTAGTTCTTTGGCCCATAAAAACCTCATTTGAATTTCTGAAATTTAAAGCTCTTTTTGGATCATGAAAATAAACACATCAATACTCAAAAACAATGTTGCTAGAATTTAAATGTACTTAATTTAAAATATACTAACTTAATTAATATACTTTATTTAAAGCAAAATACGAAAACTGATTTTTCATACTAACTTATATCCTGATCTCAGGTCTAGAGTGAATCAGTTAGCTGTTGAATCTGTTGTCAGGGAGAAAATGATTAGTTTCAGATTGCTAGTTATTCAATCAATTTGAGGGGGCACTAAGCTATGCCAACATGTATTCCTACATTTTCTAATCTGACTTCTTTTAGCTGAAATTGCTTCTAGAGAAGAAGAAGAAAAAAAACCCTACATTCAGAATAAGCAACATAAAATAATACAACGGCCTCCTCAGACTTTTGTCAGCCTGAATGAATTAGCATTTCTTTAAAGCTGTACTTGTGTCTGTTCTATTATAGTTTGAGGGATAAACCCAAGTGGTGTTGCCAGTTGTAATGCATGGAAACTGTTCAGCCGACCACTTCCCATCCTCTGCCAGGCGTTAATCATAACACAATAACAGGGACCCCTCATACTTAAACACCACAGTGATAGATCAGCACACTGCAGTGATCAGGGGTCTTTCTTTGCTGTGTGCTAAGGCCCTTCAGTGTGTGAGACTGTTTGCGATGCTCTAGGGACCCCCACCAGGCTCCTCTGTTCATGACGATGAGAATACTGGAGTGGGTTGCCATGCCCTCATCCAAGGGATCTTCCTGACCCAGGGATCAAACCTGCATCTCCTATGTCTCCAGCATTGGCAGGAGGGTTCTTCACCAGTACCACCTGGGAAGCCCCAAGGGTCTTCCTTACATATGATTTACTCCTTCATCCAGACACAAAGAGGCCACAGATAAGCCACAAAGCCGACTTTCCAGAAAAACTGTGGATAGAGAGACCAAGAGTCCAAGAGGTGTGACCTCTGATTCCTGCAAAGTCTTCAGTTACTTGGGAAGGAAGGTGGACCCCTCACCATCTTGGCGGTACCTGTGAGCACCCCTTATCACTCAAGCATCACTGAGGATTTATGCAAATGAGGCATCCTGTAAGCATCTCAGGGAAGCTCCCGCGGACTCCGCCTTCCGCGCCGCTGGGTTTTATGAATGACTGCAATCAATGCTGAACGACTGCCAACTGCCCACTCTTCCCTGCATCGTACACACAAGAGAAACTCACCCTGCCGAAAGCCCGCAGATGAGGCTGTGGCAAGGCTTTCATCTCCCCAAACAGGAACTAAATGTGCTTCCAGAGACTTAGAGTATGTGAATGAAACATTCTCAATGCCTTCAAAAGGCACAATTTACATAATCACTTTCTCTCTTTTGAGTTTCCATTTTGGTGCCTGCACTCACCAGCCCCACTTTGCCCTCCCTTCCCTGCAAAATAACTAAAAAACAAACAAATAAACAAAAAGCCCTTATTGTTTTATGAAACTTTATCTCAACTGAGCTTGATGACAAGGTCATAAGTCTAGTGACAGCACTGAGCTGTAACACAGATGTGGACACGTATGCATTTCTGCTCTCCATTTTTGTGGTTCTGGACTTTACTGGGGTTTCTCCTCCAGTGATAGAAACAATTACACTCAAACAAGGCTGGGGAAAGTGTGTCTGTGCCTGCTCCTGGGTAGGATTGTACTAGTGTGCATTTGTCACAAGAGTTTGTCAGTTACACTGACATCATGTTGAGAAAATGAAATACTTTTCAAACATACAGTATTCTAATTTGCTGATTGCTGATCAGACACACAGAATAAGGGAAAAACAGGCAAGAAGAGGACTCTGTAACCAGCCACTTTCTTCTGAACCTTCTATTCAGCACCCGAGACCCTTCTTACATAAGACATTAAGCAAAAGTACCCAAACATGTGCAAACGTCTTGTCTCCACCCTGATTCTTTCTTAACTCCAGGCATCCAGTTGCTTCCCCAACACTTTTGCGTGGGTTTCCAGTAGGCTTCTCAAAATCAACACTTTCAGTAGGAATCCACCTTTTCTTAGACACCTGACCCTCCAGGGCCA